GAGAAAGAAATTCCAATATCTCTGCCTCTGGTTCAGTATATCTCAAACTGTAGCGATGCTGCTTCCAAGGAAGCATTAACTCTGGGCTTCTTTGAGCATCACCTGGTGAATTTGGGACATGGTTTTGCTGTTGGATTGTTTTTTGGTGTTTTTTTTTTTTCTTTTTGCCTTGTGTGTCAGTGAGTTTAATGCCATGTGGGGAAGCTGAGAGCGGCGTCAGCTTAAGGGACAGTGAAAATCAAAGGCAAATTGGCTGAAGCCTGGGGCAGATCCCACCTGGACAGCCCTGCTGGGCTGTGCTCAGAGGTGTGATGGGGAGCAGGTGCTTCCCTCTCTGTGCTCTTATCTCGCTGTCAATAAAGGTTGTACAGGGATGATATTCCCACCTCACAGAGATGCTGACAAATTCAAAGCGTATCAGTTTATATGGGGAAGAACTCATGATTTCAGCTACAACTTTTCTCTGAGTCCCCCAGCAATGTTTGTGTCTTAGCAACCACATTTTCCTATTTAGAAGTGTTTAAAACATTAAGAACCACTACCAACAACACATTAAGCACAGGATTAAGTGCTTTCCTGAATCAAAGCTTAACTAGATAAATGCTGTTAATTGAATCAGGGATGTGCTTTTTTTTTTTTTTTTTTTTTTTTTTTTTCAGCCCCTAAATTTGCATAGCATTTGCATTTGATTGAATCTCCATCATGAATGTTGTTCAGTTCTAGTGGGTCTCCCAGTGTCTCTCCAGCTTTAGCCATTCTCTTGTTGTCCCTAAGAGCTCCAGAAATGGTTTTGGGAGGAGAGGAAGGTTGGTGCCTGGTTGTGCTTTACTGAAAGTGCTCAGTGCCCTGGTGCTCTGAATCACCTTTGCCTTGAGGAAACTGTGGTAGGGAGTGGAGAAAGGAATTGGATGTAAGGGAGCATCCTGCAGAAGCCTCGTGTTGTGTATGTGCAGCTCTGGTGGATCTGTGCAGCTTGACCCACCGTTGCTGATGCTGTAATGCAGGGCTGCTCGTGGTACGTGGGGCTGGAACTTTCTCCAGCAGGAATTCACTTGACAGGCCATGTGCTTTGGGGCTGAAGACAAATCAAATTGTCTGGATAAAATCTGGATCAGTGGTCCCTTCCAACTCGAATCGATCTGTGATCTTTGGGGTCCCCTCCATCCCAAGCCGTTCTGTGGCTCTATGAAAAGCAGCATGACTGCATGCTCACTGCCATGCTGGTGGGGTGCAACCTCCATGCGCTTTCTGGAAGGAAGCACATCTGTAGGGTGAGGTGGGATGGGGACACACCTGACTTTTATCACAGCTACTGCTGCTCTGCCTTTTCCCCTGGCAGCGCAGCAAAGGAGCAACTCTGCCTTTCAGAGCATCACTTTGAAAGCATCACTTGGGGCTTTTGCAAAAGGGAAGAGAAACCCTGAGCAAGAAGGGGCTGCCCTGGTGGTGCTCTGCCATTGCTTGTGGCAGCTGGCCCCATTCTCCTGCTGGCTCCCAGCCCGGCTTGGAGCAGGTCAGTGCCCCCTGCTTGGGTCCCTGTCATTGCTGCTGTGCCAGTCCTGGGGGAAGTGCCAGCGAGTTCTTAATGAAGGGCTCTGGCCACCCTCCTCGATGTGAAAGGAGATCCCGACAGCTGAATCTATTGTTGGGGTATTTCCCAGTGAGATTTAAAAATTGAAAACAAACAAACAGAACCAGACCTAATTTGGGATTGTTGCTGAGGGTTCTGCCTGTCTGTGAGACGCACAGCACTGTATGCCCGTGTGGGATGGGCAGCTCTGAACGTGTGGCTGCTGCCTCAGCACCGACAGCGATGCTGGGAGGGCTTTGGATGCACTGGGATAGAATGAGAGTGATCTCCCCTTGGGTTCGGGGCTGCTGGGGAGCAGCAGAGGGCATTTTGTCAATGGGCAGGGCTGGTTCTTCAAAAAAGCAGCTACGCTTTGGTTTGTGCATTCTGGATGAGAAGGTGTTGCTGGTATGCTTTTCTCCTGAGCCATGTGCTCTATCCCCCATGCTGCATTGATGGGCACAGGAGGCAAGGGCAAGAAATCTCCATTGGATTGACAACGGATAGATGAGATAACCTCCTCCATCTCCTGGACGCTCCAGGTTGCTCTGTAGCACTTTGCTCCATCCCTTTGCATCGGTTTGAGCGTTTATCTTCCCAGCACACCCTATCCAGAACTGGGGGAGGGTTTGCTGAGAGCATCAAGCTGCTCAGTTCCTGATTTCCAAGGTATCAGCTCCTCAGAAGAGCTGGGATGTCTGCGTGGGGCTGCTGGGCAGTTCTGCAGGTCTGTGAGTGCTGTAGTACTGCCACAGATGGCTGCTAACATCCCGTGGGCACAAAGAGCAGTGTTGGCATGAAGCGGGAGGGAGGTGACGCCAGGATGCATTCCTGGGACCTGCAGTTCTCTGCTTACAACTATTTCAGCTGCTCCCCCCCCTTTTTCCCCTGTGTGCAGCCCCCCATCCATTCACTCCCAGCTCAGATCGTGTGCTGAGTTTGTGAGCGATGAGAGGAGCTTCAGCTCTGCAACACGGTGAATAAAAAGCCAGGAATCGGCGATGAGCAGAGTTATTTATTTGGAGTAAAGCCTTGTGTGGAGCAGAGGTCGGAGGGAGCAGAACTGGGCTTCTCCAAAGAGAGGCACTTCACGACAAGGGTTTAAATCCAGTCGGACCTGCTTACAAGCAAAGCAAATAGATGGGTTTATTTATTCATGACTTCCTCTGTAATTCTAACCACAGGGCTCCAAAGGAGCCAAAGCCAAGCAGGGGCTGTGCTTCGGGAGGAAGATTTCCATGCACTGTGAGGAGCTGAGCTGGACCTCAGGGCTGAGTGATGCTGGCTCCAGTTGGGATGCTGCCCCATAGGATGCTGCCCTGTGGCACGCAGCCCTTCTGCAGGATGGGCACTGATGGAGATGGGCAGTGAGTGCTCAGGGTGCTGGCTCCTTGGAGGGGCTTTTTCTTTTTCCTTTTTAAGGGGGAGAAAATGAGATGCTACCAGCAGAATGACGGTGCGGGGACATAAATGGCTCTTTTCTCTCCGTGGTGCATTTCATTCTGGTCACGTATGTGAAGAACACATGCTCTGCCTGTGCGGATGCTTGGACCTATCTGGAGAAGTTTCTGGGGCAGGGGTGGGTGGTTGGAGACGTGGTTTCCTCCATCAGTTCAGATCCTTGTGACCCTCCCTGGACTGTGGCATTCTTTGCATTCTGAATTTCTTAATCTCTCTCTCCCATTCATTTTGGGATGTGGATTAGCATGTAAACAAGGGATCTGGTTTCATAGCCTGCTCCCCTCCCCCCTTTCTCCCTTCATCCCCCCTGATGCGATGCAGTTCTAAGGGTTCAGGACTTTTTCCCCATCCACCCAGATTCTCCTCCATAGCAGCAGCGAAATTTGGTGTTTTGGAGACTTCCCAATAGCTGAGCTGATGGGAGTGCTGAAAATCTTTCTTTGCTTCCTTTTTGTCTTTCTAATGGCAGCGCAACCCCAAAGCTTTTTGGCCATTCTGTCCCTCCAGTCTGAATCTGAGCGACTTTGGGGAAGCATCACTTCTGGTTCTGTTGGAAACCTCCTGAACAGCTCAGCCCTTCCAGGCATTTTGCTGTGTGTGTGTTTGAATCTGCTGCCCAGGTCAGGGGATGTTCTCCAGGCAGAACCCTATGGGATGAGGATTCCTCATCAGCCCCTTTACCTCCATGTCTGAGCAACACTGATTGCTTCTGACTGTTTTCTTCTCATTGACAAACGAGCTGAATCTTCTGAAGAGGATAAAAATCAAGAAATTCATCTTCTCTCCCTATTTTTTTTTTTTTTTTTTTTTAATTATTATTTCAAACATTCACGAATATTTTGGATTGAAACCCAGGTCTGTGATGAGTGCAGGTCTGGAGGTGATATCCCAAAAAAGTGATGCCAGTGCTGAGCTGCATGTGATGGTCATAGTATTTCATTTCCCTTTCTTTTCAGGGATCTTAAGGTTCCATATTTGCTGAGCTTGCAGGCAGGCCCCATCACTGTTCTTAGATGCTCATTTCAGGTTGGGCCTTAAATCAGATGCTGAGACTTAGAGGACTGAAATTAGGGGCAGTGGTGAAGGAGGGTATTTTGCAGTGACTTTAGCTGGAGGGTAGAGGTTTAACCCGAAGGAATTGTGCTGCTGCATTTGCCCACACAAAGCTGCATCCTCCAAGGATGTCCCTGGGCACCCATGGGTGCTTTTGCTGCAGGGTGAGTGCTTTGCTGGGTGCTGTGAGCTGGGATGTGAGGCTCAGCCTGGTGTGCTCCTCATCCCTTTGCTTGTACACAGCACTTGGGGTGCTGACACTGCAGGAGATGGCAGCACCATGTGGTGGAAACACCACAACGGTGAGGAAAAAAATCATTTCTCAGTGTTTTGTGTTGGTGGAAGCCCTGGGGTGGCAGCAGTGTGGCTGTGTGTGGGTGCTGGAGCTGCCCCAGGGACCCACAGCAATCCATGGCAGCACCTCCTGGGTCAATTGGGCATCAAAAATTTTCCCCAAAAATTCTATTTTGGGAAAAATTAGGTTTGAAAAAGCCAAAAATGTGAGTGGAGGAGTGATCTTAAACAAACTGGGATGCTGGAGCCAAGTTTCCAGGTGCTGTGGGCATCGCCATGGTCTCCTTTTCATGTCCAGATTTGCTTTCAGGTTAAATGACTGCATGGTTCTTTTTTTTCTTCTTTTTTTCTTTCTAATCCTTGTAATCAATCTGGCAGAACTCAGCATTTGTAGCTGTGCTGGTGCAGGAAGGTTGGTGGATTTGGGCATCTTGCTCACAGTGAAGCTTGCAGTGTAAATGCAGAACCTGGCGGGGTGTAATTAACAGAGAGCCATCAGAAACCCCGGGAGCATGTGGGAATGGAAAGCTTGATTAGGTCTGTCAATGAGGAGCAGTTCAGTGTGAGATGGACGCGTTGCTGACACCAAACCTGGCTTTTAATTGCTTTTTGTTTCTTGCAGGAGCCGGAAGATTCAAATCCGAAATATCCCACCCCAGCTGCGATGGGAGGTAAGGGGGTGAGGGAGCAGGGCACGAGCCTGAGACACAAGGACTTGCACTGAGAAGTGTGGGGCACCTTTAGGGACTGACTCCCCTGTGGGTTTCTGCACTTGGGATTACAATTGGTTCATCCTTTTCTTTGTTTTTAACTGAGCCTAATGGTGCTGCACCCTTGCGTCCATGCAGCTGTTCCTCTTCTGTGCAGGATTCAATTCAGCTGGTAGAAGCAATGCAGGATCCACCAACAAAATCCCCTTCAATAACAGCATGATATGATTTATCCATTGTAGGAACAACACGGATCCTTCCTTCCGGCTGTTGGGACTTCTTCCTTTTCTTGCTGCCTTCCCAGCTCTGCTTCTGGGGCCTGTTGACCCAACATCCTGGGGCACCCAGCAGCTTTGCTCATCTAATTGCTTGTGAAATCTTAATGCCCAGAAGGCTGCCTTTATCGACTGACTGTATTTCTTGTGTCTGTCCTGATTCTCACAGTATATTGGGCTTTTTCTCTGTTTCCCAGGTTCTGGATGGCTTGCTAGCACAATATGGCACTGTAGAAAACTGTGAGCAAGGTAAGGCTGAAAGAAGGAGCCAACGTGCTGTTGTTTAAATATTTTCTGCCCTAGCTATTTGGGGCTGGAGGAGGGAGGGAGGAGGACAGGCAGGTTGTTGTGCTTTGTTAGAGGTTATCTCTATGGCTAAAGATGTCTGAGTCTGGTCATTGTGTCCTCTTGTTGCTTGGCCAAAACAAGGACATCCCTGTATATAAAATAAAGCAGGATGGGCTGTACAGACATAAGTACTCTCTAGTGGCCGAAGATGCTGCATAATGGCCCAGACTGCTCATGCTGGCTCTAATTTCTGCCTCTTTTATTGCAGTGAACACAGACAGTGAGACCGCTGTGGTTAATGTCACCTACACAAACCGGGAGCAGACCAGGCAGTAAGTTGCCCCAAGGCCACCCCATGGACCTCCCATGGCCCACTGCCCCTTCCCTGGGGACAGAAAATGGGATTTCCATTGCTGGGAGTCAGGCCGTACCAGAATTCATCAACTTGGGGTTGCAAACCTTTGAGAAATATCCTCCTTTCTGCCCTGATTTCTTTTTGTTCACCTTCATGGTGGGATGGGGTGGGGTTGGGGTAGAATTGGAGCCCTTTAGAGCACATCCAAGTTAGGCTTTTTTGTGCAGTTCAAAGAGTAAAGAAAACCAACTCTTTTATAAGGAAAAGTGAAGATTTTCTTGTACTGAAGTCATTTAAGTAATTGCAGCTCAAGGAAAAAGTAATAATATTGGTGTGAGACCTTTCTGTCATCTTTTTCTGCTTTATGGAGGGTCTTTGGATCCTTTGCATCCTGCAGAGATGGTGTTATTTGTGTCTGTTCAGCTGAGGGGTTTTGCAGCCCAAAAGGGAGTAACTGAGCCCTTTCTGGAGACCTTCAGTTTGACTTCTCTCCACTGAAGTTAGGAGAGCTGTGCAGAGCTGTGGCCAGAGCTGTTGCTTTTCTCTTGCTGCCAGCCCCATCTATCGACAGCTTTTAGCTCTTGCAGCCAGTCCCCCAAATCCCCACCAGCAGCTGAAATACCAACCAATATATTGCAAGGCAGAGGAGAGCCTGGGGATCATTCCTTGTTCTCACCCACTGCTTCCACCCCCTCCCCAGGGTTGGTTGCTTGGAAATCCCCCCCCCCCCACTTAAAGCACTTTGCTCCATCTGGACCAGGTGGGAAATCCTGCCAGGTCCCCGTGGCATTGATGACATCTCTGTGCCTCATTCCCAGTTCTTTCCCAAAGGGTGTTACATCAAGGCTTGACCCAGTCTGGGTGGATTTGTCCCATTTTGGGTGGGCTGGTGCTGATATGCTGCCTTTTGCTGGGAGCTCTAAGGGGTAGGAATCCCCTCACCCCAACCCCTTCTCTCCTTGCTTTAGAGCCATCATGAAGCTGAACGGGCACCAGCTGGAGAACCACGTGCTGAAGGTCTCCTACATCCCTGATGAGCAGTCAGTGCAGGGCCCAGAGAATGGGCGCCGGGGTGGCTTTGGGGCCCGAGGTGCCCCCCGGCAGGGTTCCCCTGTCACAGCAGGAGCTCCAGTCAAGCAGCAGCCCGTGGACATCCCGCTCCGTCTACTGGTGCCCACACAGTATGTGGGTGCCATCATTGGCAAAGAAGGGGCCACCATCAGGAACATTACCAAGCAGACACAGTCCAAGTGAGTCTCTCTACCCTTCCCCCCTCGCATTGCTTCTAATTAATGGAGTGGTCTGCAGTGACTTATGAGGCTGAGTTTGGTTTTGTCCCACGTGTTTTTGCTCTTCTCTCCCAAGGAGGGCTTTATCTAAGATGTGAAGTGATGAGCAGTGCATCTCATCTGCCAGCAACTGACCTGTTCTCCACTATGTGATCACTCATGTTGTTTAAAATAGAGTCAGATGTCTTATTTGGATTTCTGTGAATGGGGCTTCTAACTACAGTATCTACATGGAATGCTGAGCCCAGAATTAACTGCTCTTTCCTTTCCTGTGTACATCCAAGCTTCAGCTCTGGGCAGCCTGCAGGCATGCTGGAGGAGCAGAGCAGCCAGCACATGCTGTGAAGCTGCAGAGCCTCTGCTCTGTGCCCACTCTGACATCAATGCTGTGCTTGCAGGATTGATGTTCACCGTAAGGAGAACGCAGGAGCTGCAGAAAAAGCCATCAGCATCCACTCCACCCCTGAGGGCTGCTCTGCTGCCTGCAAAATGATCTTGGAGATCATGCAGAAGGAGGCAAAGGACACAAAGACGTAAGTTTTTTCCCCTACCCCTCTGTGCTTGTAGGCTGTATCCACAGCTCCTTGCTGGGCTGTGTTAGCATCCCAGCACTCAGAGCTCCAGTTTGCATGTGGAAGCCTTGCCTTGGGAGAACTGGGGGACTCTGAGCAAGGGGACATGGTCTTCCCGTCACTCTGCTCCCAATCCCTCTTCTTCTGCAAGCTGTAATCTTTAATTCTGTTGTTTTCCCGTTCCTCTCTCAAGAGCTGATGAAGTGCCTCTGAAAATCTTGGCCCATAACAACTTTGTGGGGCGCCTGATTGGCAAAGAAGGGCGAAACTTGAAGAAAGTGGAGCAGGATACGGAGACAAAGATCACCATTTCATCGTAAGGCTCCTTGATGTCTTTGGGAAAAGCAGGGTAGACTTTCCCAACCTGGGGCAGATGGAAGTGGGGAGGCAGATATGGGAGATGTGAGGAAAGCAAAGAGATCGCTGTCAACCTGCTGGGAAGCCAGCCTGTGGCATGAGTGCTTTGATCCCCAAACCTGTCTTGATATACCTGCGTGTTGTTTCCTGAGTTCCCCTCTTCTTCCCTTTTGGAGCTGTGCTTCAGTACTGATTTTTTTTTTTTTTTTTAGCAGGCAGAACTGGGGTTCTGTTCTTTAAGCATGTTTTTAAGGGAGGCAGCACAAACACGGGCAGTAAACCATGATGCTGCTCCCTGCTTTGGCCAGCACTGGTGTAACTCTGGCTTCCCATCAGCTTGCAGGACCTGACCCTGTACAACCCTGAAAGAACGATCACAGTGAAGGGCTCCATCGAGAACTGCTGCAAAGCAGAGCAGGAGATCATGAAGAAAGTGAGAGAAGCCTACGAGAACGATGTCGCGGCCATGAGCGTGAGTGCGGCTCAGCTTCGGGACGGCAGCTCTGCCAGGCAGGGTTCCTGCCCTACCTCCCCTCCTGTGTGCTCTAAGAGGATGCCCTGGTACAAGCAATGAGCGTTTCTCTCCTCTCCCCCTCAGCTGCAATCTCATCTCATCCCTGGCCTTAACCTGGCTGCTGTCGGCCTCTTCCCTGCCTCCTCCAATGCAGTACCTCCTCCTCCCAGCAGCGTCTCCGGGGCTGCTCCATACAGCTCCTTCATGGTAGGTGCACAGCTGAGGAACCTTGCGGTGCTTTCAGCATGGTCAACGTCCACGTGTGTGCAGGATCTGTGCTCTTCACCTGTTGCAAATGCAGTTGAAGGCCAGCACTTATGGTATGGGTGACACTTCTGAGGGGGATTGGGGGCGTGGTGAGCTCTGAGCAGTGGTTCTGTGTCCTCAGCCTCCCGAGCAGGAGACCGTACACGTCTTCATCCCTGCCCAAGCAGTCGGTGCCATCATTGGCAAGAAGGGCCAGCACATCAAGCAGCTCTCCCGGTTCGCAAGTGCCTCTATTAAGGTAGTGTCACCTCATTAAGGAGCAGTGTCCTGCCAGCACCTCTTGCTGAGCTGGGTGCCTTTCTGCTGCTGAAATTACCTTAAAAACCTGGGTGATGTGTATGGATGCTGCAGTGACTGTTTCTCTCCCCCATTCCAGATTGCACCCCCGGAGACGCCGGACTCCAAAGTGCGCATGGTGGTCATCACAGGCCCTCCAGAAGCTCAGTTCAAGGTCCCCTCACTTTCTTGCCATCACAGTGGAGTGTCAGAGTCACCCAGTGCCTCCTCCACCATCCCCTTCCCTTCAGAGCAGGGTGGGAAGAAGCATCACAGTCAGCCCTCCCCAGTGTGACACTGAGACCTGTCTTAACTCAGCACCAGCCCTCCTGGGGCTGAGATGACTTAAAGCTCTGAGGGGCTGGGATTTGGGGAGGGAATCTGTTGTCCCCAGGATGGAGATGTGTGGGGACAGAGCGTCTTGAACAGAGCCTGATGCTGTTTCTCCTCCTCTGCAGGCACAAGGCAGGATTTATGGGAAGCTGAAGGAGGAGAACTTCTTTGGGCCGAAGGAAGAAGTGAAGCTGGAGACACACATCCGTGTCCCTGCCTCGGCTGCAGGGAGGGTTATTGGCAAAGGGGGCAAAACTGTAAGCAAAGCCACGTTTGGAAGGGGGTGGGAGCATTTGGGATGTTTGGGGGGGGAATCTCTTCCACACTGTGTGGTGATGTTGGTCTCTGTCCCTTCCCTGCAGGTCAATGAGCTGCAGAACCTGACGGCTGCAGAGGTGGTGGTTCCACGGGATCAGACCCCTGATGAGAACGAGCAGGTCATTGTGAAGATCATCGGGCACTTCTATGCCAGCCAGGTATGATCCCAGCAGCTTGGTGCTGGTGGAGTCTCTGATGGCTCATAAGGGGTTGTGTTCAGTGCTGCTTCCTCCTTTGAAAGTGTTTTCTGCGCTTGGCTGCTGCTGTTTGCTGTTGTCTTTGTGTGTTTTGTGGAGTGGTGTGGGCAGGAGGGAGAGCTGGGGTGAGGGGTACATTCACACATGTTCAACATCTTCATCAGTGACCCAGAGGAAGGAATAGAATTCATGCCCAGCAAGTGTGCTGATGGTGCAAAGCTGGGAGGAGTGGTTGATGCTCACTGATGCTGGTTAGTGAGACTTGGGCAGGCTGAGTGTTGGGCAGAGAGGAATGTGATGAGATTTAACAAGGGCATGTGCAGGGTCTGTGCATGGGGAGGAACAAGTGCAGCATCAGTACAGGATGGGGGCTGAGCTGCTGGGAGCTCTGATGAGAAGGACGTGGGGGTCCTCGTGGCCAACAGGACGACCACGAGCCAGCAATGTGCCCTGCTGGCCAAGAAGGCCAATGGTTGACCAATGGTTTCCCATTCAGCTGTATTCCTCACGGCACTCAGTGCCATTTCCCTTGCATTTTCCTTTTGCTCCTTTCATCCACAGATGGCGCAGCGCAAAATCCGGGACATCCTGGCCCAGGTGAAGCAGCAGCATCAGAAGGGACAAAGCGGCCAGCTGCAAGCGAGGAGGAAATGAGAGCAGCACTGACACCAATGTGAAAAGTGGAACAAGCCAATGCCAGGCTTAAGAGTGGCTGGGAATCAGTTACCATAGACAGATGCAATTGTTTTCATTAACTGGTCGACACTAAAAGGCAGTTTGATTGGCTTTCAAGGCAAGAGGGACGGGGCTAAGAACCAGACCGCACCATCTGACCCATTTTTAGCTCCATGTGCTGACACTGTACTGAACCCAAGTGGGAGGTGCTGTGGGGCTGGGGGATGGAGCCCAACACCAGGCACTGCACTCAGCCCCTGCAGGCACTGCCTGCCCTCATCTCAGGGCCTCTGGGGCTCCCCCAGGGCTCCCCCCAGCTTCACTTCCCCATCCCTCCCTCAGTCCCTTCCCTGCCTCAGCGGTGTGGCTGACGGATGTTCCCAGAGTGATGTTAAACCTTTGGGATCCTTTTTTTTTTTTTTTCTTTTAAATTCTTTTCTTTTTTCCCCTTTTAATTTTTCTCCTTTTTTAGAGAATTTTTTCTTTTTTTTTTTCTTTTAATTTTTCAAAAATTCCAGTGGACCATCACCAATCCCCCCCCCACCCACTGGTAATGAGATCCATTGTGAGGGACTGAAGGGAGGGGGAGGAGAACTCCGTAGTGCCAAATGGATTTGGATCCCCTGGGAGGATCCCATCATGTCAGCAGCACCCGAGGGTGGGCAGAAGGAGAGCTTTCCTCTCCCCTGTGCTGTGTGTGCAGTGCAGTGCCTTCTGAAGCCTTAGGAACCAACGCAGGACCTCTATTTTCCAGGACAACTTTTTAGTTTTTCATTTGGTTGGATGTTTCTTTATGTTAGTTTACTTGAAAGGAGCTGTTTTTTGGGGGGAGTTTTGGGCTGTTTTCTCTTTTTGTCATCATGGTTTTTTTTTTTTTCTTTTTTTGTGACCTATGAACTAATGGCAGAATGGGATGCAGAGCTTTAACTGCAGAGATGCTGACATGGGAAGGGGCAAGGGAAGTGCTTTGCTTTTTTACTTTCCTCCCTCTGAGCAACAGCAATAAAACATAGGAACAAAGCACAGCCCGCTTGGTAGGAAGCATGAATGAACGTCCATCCTTCAGTAATGGGAAATGGGGGCTAAACAGATCTGGGATTCAGAGCCAAAGGGTTTTGGGGCTTTGCTGGGACCGGGGGCTCAGCCTCAGCTTCGCTTCCCAGCACAGATTTGTGCCCTGAAATCCCATTGGTATCTCCATGGGCTCAGCCACACTCAGTGATTTTTTGGGTTTTTTTTTTTTGGGGGGGGGGCCCCCCCCCCCCCCCCCAAAAACCACTCAGGGGAATGGAATATTTTTCATTAGCAAAGCTGGAGGATGCTGGTTGGTGTTAACCCTCGTGGGGCTGTTTGTGGTGTATCCCAGCCCGTTCTCTCCCCTCTTCCAAATCTTTCCAGATGGGGGCAAAAAAAAAAAAAAAAAAAAAATCTTTGAAATTTGGCACGTCTGAAGCTTTATTTTTTATTTTTTTCTTACTTTTAAAACAACAAAGCCCCCAATCACCACCACCACCCTCTTCTTTCTGCGGCCAGAACAGCCCCCCCCTCACACGACCGTACCAAATAGATCCGTCAAACGAATGTAAGGTGGTTCCTGATTCCCGTCACTCTTAGGAGGATTTTTATATTTTAGATATATTTTAATGGTTTGTTTTTTAATATTTGAGTATTGGGAAGGGACAGTAACTGCTGTGACTGCCCCACACGGGGCCGGGTCGTGTCTCTATGGGGCTGTGTGTGCACCGTGCTGCCCTTCCACCCGGCCCCATTGGGGACTCAGCGCCCCGGTGCTGTCCTACAAGCTGGGGAGCAGGGGGAGAAAGCAAAAAGCTCTGATTGCATTGGGGAAAGCGGGGCGAGCCCGCATGGAGGTGATGAGGAGGGAGGTGGGGGTGAACCTCGCACTGATTCTGTACTGTTTCTTCTTAAACCAGACTGCTCCCATAGAGCTGAGATGGGGACGCAGCAGCGGTTACTGTCCCTGGGGGCACTGCAGCAGCAGCAGTGGGGTGATGCCAGGAGTTGGGGTGAGGTATAGCCGTGTGTTTGAGCAACAAGAGAGGAGGGAAAGAGGAAAAAAAAAAAAAGAGAAAAAAAAAAAAA